ACAAATTAGATTTCATCAGTCCCATTATAAAAATCCTTAAAGCTGGGCAGGGTACACACCTATATCCCAGCACTGGTGAGTCTGAGACAGAAGGGGCATCATGACTTTGAAGTCAGTGTAAACTACAGAGCAAGACCCTGTTTCATAAAACAAGAGCTGGTGATACAGCTCAGTGACACAATTGCCTGTCTGGGTCTGGCAAGCATGGGGTCCTGAGTTCGATTCCCAGTACCAAAACCAACAAACAGAATAATCTTTAATGACTTATCAATGAACTCTAAACTTTTTATCTCTATGAATTCTGGTTTCTACTTCTGAAACTTCATTCCTTCTACTTTTCCTGCTTTACTTCTAGAATCTAGCCACTCAATTCTTTTTTGTATTCCCTAAAATAAACAAATCTGTTCTTTACTTGTCTATGACTAATCATCTCTGAATGAAAAACTCCAAAGGAATTGATTATAATGACATATGTCTATAATCCCAGCTCTTGGGAGGCTGAGGCAGGAGGATCACTGCAAGTTTGCCCAGCCAGGGCTGCATAATGAGTTCAAGGCCAGCCTGAATTGCTTAGCAAGACCCTGACTAAAAACAAAACAAAAACTCTTGAAAATGGACCTTTCTTTGTTTTGTTCAGATATATTTTATAAGAGCTCTTGGTAGACAGGTGCAATTCAGTACAAAATAAACTAGCTTTACCATTTCTCTAGAAACAAGATGACATAAAAACCCACTAACAGCAAGACTTCTTTGCCAAGCAGTTCCTCTTAGCAAATGGAACACCTAGTGTCCTAACAGAACGCTTCTCCATATAAAAGGGCATCTAGACTCAAGAACAAGAAAAGGTAACCAATGTTATCAGCCTAATATAACTTAATGTTGTCAATCAAACTAAGAAACTCTGTAAGCCAGGTGTGGTGACACATTCCCATGATTTTGGCACACAGGAGGCTAAGGTGGGAGGACCCCTGAGTTGAATGCTACCCTGGGCTAAACAGTGAGACGGCCAAGACAGCCAGGGTTGGTATTTTCATGACTGGGATATAAGCACTATGTGAGGCAGAGGCAGAAGCATCCCAAATTCAAGTCAAACCTGGGCAACTCAATAATTTCATGATCCTGTCTCAAAAAGAAAAAAAGAGGGAAAAAAAGTGAACACCTATAATCATAGCAACCCAGGGGGCTGAGACAAGTCAGCCTGGGAAACTCAGGTGAGACACTGAAAAAGCAACAAGTGCTGGGGCTGTATTTCAGTCATATAACATTTGCCTAGTATGTATAAATCCCTAGGTCAATCTCTAGTATTGTAATGTTAAAAAATAAGCTGGATGTGGTAGAACATGCCTATAAGTAACTTCAGCACTTGGGCAGCTGAGGCAGGAGGATCATCATGAGTTCAAAGTCCTCAGTGGAACAAGCGCTTCCCTGGCAAGCGCAAGGGCCTGAGTTCAATCCCTGGTTTCACCAGTAAAAAAAAAAAACAAAACATCAAAGAAACAAAGTCAGCCTAGCTCAAGGGCAAGCTGAAGTACACAGCAGGACCCTATCTCACCCAAGAAAAAAGGAAACCAAGTAAAGACTAAATCCCATATACTAAGCAAGCACTCTACCACTGAGCTATACCTCTAGCCCTATTACTGTATTTAAAATGTATCCATCATATTACAGAGCATGTTGGTTTATGACTATAATCCTACAATTTGGGAGGTTGAAACATGATTGCCAATTCTATGCCAGCCTGGCCTACAGAGTTCAAGTCTGGCCTGAACTACATAGCAAGATCCTGACTCAAAAAAAGCCTAAGATGGGAGATAGGTCAGTGGCTTAAGCGCCTACCTGGCAAGAGCTGAGTTTTCGATCCCCAGTACCAAACAAAACAAAACACCCATAACACCACACACAAACACATACACACACACCCCTTGCCATATACAAGGTCTTGGGTTCTATTCCCAATACAGCAAAAAGAAATATACTAAATTAAGATATTTGAAGAGTACCTGCATAGGCCTCCCAAGCCAGCATCATTGCTAGTCTCTTTAATTAAGAAGCACTGTCCTTGATCCCAATTCTCTATTGGTAATTAAGTATATCCACAGCAAACAGTGAACTGTTGGACATGCATGGTGGTGCCCACTCATGATTTCAGCACTCAGAAAGATGAGGCAAGATGACCTCCTAGAATTCTAGCCAGCCTAGGCTATACAAGCAAGTTCAAGGACAGCTTGCACTACATAGCAAGACCTGGCTCCAAAAAACTTGATTGAATCATGTAAAAGTACAAGTTCTCTATGATGAATATGATTATTACATGTATCTAAAACATACCAATATAATCTGATTGGAGGAAAAAAAAACTTGAAGGGCCAGGCTTAGTGGCACACACCTATAATCTCAGTACCAGGGAGGCTGAGGCAAGAAGAGTCTAAGGCCAACCAGGGTTACACAGTGAGTTCAAGACCAGGCCGGAAACTAGATGTGGTGGTGCATTTATAATCCTAGCACTCGGGAAGTTGTGGTAAGTGAACTCCTGCGCTATGTGTTGAGAACCTTGTCTCTAAAAAAAAAAAAAAAAAAAAAAAAGTCCAGTACCACAGACAGGAGTGGCGGTACATGCTGTAATCCCAGCACTTGGAAGCTGGAGGATCAATGCAAATCTGAAGCCAACCTGAGTTGACTGAGTGAGTTCAAGGGCAGCCTAAACTACATGGAAAAACTGTAACAACAAAAAAAGCAAACCAGTAAAAAAAACCCCAAAAAACAAAGAACAACACCAGAACAATAAAAAAAATTTAAAAACTTTCATCATCAGTGGACAACTGAGTCACTGATGGTCTTAATGACCGCACACTTCCCCAGTATACATAAATAATCCCTCTTCCTGGGGAAAAGGAAATGGACAGAGACTTCATTTACATACCTTACAAATACACTGCAAATGCACAGCCTGTGTAGCAAACTTGTAAAAGTACCTCAAACTTCGAAGATGATGGCTGTAAAGAAAAAGAAAAAGAAAAAATTACATCTACTCCCTTTACGAGGAAAAAAACAAAGGACAAGATATAAGTAAACAGGCTTAAAGAACTGAGAGAAAGGCTGGGGATATAGCTCATCAGTACAGTGTCTGCCTGGCAAGCACAAGGTCCTGAGTTTGATCCCCAGCACCAAAAGGAAAAAAGTTCAGAGAAAACAGAAGTACAGTATTTATCCCCATTATTAAAGACTGAAACCAGGGCCTCAAGAATGCTAGACAGGCTGAGTGTGGTGATGTACACCTGCAATATCAACATCTAGGAAGCTGAGGCAGAAGGACACAGTGCCTGCCACAGTGGTACGTCTGTAACCCCAGCATAAGAGAAGCCAAGGCAGAACTGCTGAGTTTGAGGCCATCCTGGGCTATACAATGAGACCTCTCAAAAAACAAAACAAACCCCTCAAAAATCAGAATGCTGGGTAAGAACTCTATCCCTGAGCTGCATCTCCAAATTTCATCCCTTTTTTGGAGACAGGGTCTTCCTAAATTGCTCAGGCTGGCCTTGAACTTTGCATTTCCCTGCCTCAGCCTCTTGAGCAGCCAAAATTACAATTATGTGCCACCATTTCCAGCCACTAATTTTTAACTTACATACCATGGGGCCAGGAATATAGCTCAATGGCACAAGCGCCTGCCTAGTAAGTACAAGGTCCTTAGTTAGATCTCCAGTAACAAAACACCAGAAGACGTACCGTGAAGTTTATCACATTGGCATCCTTCACTTACACAGTCGATTTTACCTTCCAAATATCATAAATATCCACACATGGCTAAATGTTGCCCATTTAAAAAATAATTAAGCAGGATACCAGAGTACTAACCTATAATCCTAGTTACTGAGATTGAGGCAGAAAGATCCCAAATTCAAGCCCAGGTAGGACAACTTAATGAAACTGTTTCAAAAAAAGAAAACAAAAAAAGCCAGATGTGGTGGAAAACACCTGTAACCTCAGTCATCTGAAAAGCTAAGGCAAGAGGGATTCAATTCCTGGGCAATGTAGTAAGCTCTGTTTGAAAATAAAACTTAAAAAAAAAAAAAAAAAGGGACTAGGATTCAGGAAAAAAAAAAAAAAGAGGCATGCCTATAATTCCAGGAGGCCAAGGTAGGAGAATCACTGAAAATTCTAGGCTAGTCTGAGCTACACAGTAGTGCTAGGACTGCCTGAACTACAGAGTAAGATCCTGTCTATAAATTAATAAATAATTAAACAAATAGTTTGTATTATAGTTTATTGTGAAGATTCTGAGTTTCAACCCTAGCACCACAAAAGGTTAAACTAATTTATTAATTAATTTTAAAAATTAGGGAGGGCAGCTGTAGTAAGCTAAAGGACTCAGGTCAATGCCCAGTACAGGAAAGAGGAGAGCAAGTAAATTCTATGCAGTATGTTAATTTTTTTTTTTTTTTTTTTGCGGAACCCGGGATTGAACTCAGGCCTTGTGCTTGCCAGGGAAGTGCTTATCCACTGAGCCATCTCCCCAGCCCCCAGTATGTTAATTTTTGCCATTGTTTTATTATAAAGATTTTTCCATGGCATGGTGGTGCATGCCTATAATCCCAGAGGCCAGATTGCCACAGGTCAAAGGGTTGGGGAGATGGCTCAGGGGCTGGGGAGATGGCTCAGCAGAATAAGCACTTGCCCAAGCACAAGGGCCTGAGCTCAACCCCCCCTTCCACAAAAAAAACCACCCTAAACTACATAGCAAAACCCTATCTCAAGAAAACAAAACAAGTTGCCATTACAGTCATATGGCACTATGCCTAGCTTATACTTTTAAATAAATAAATAAAATCACATCATTCTCTTGCTTAAAAAAAAAAAAAAAAAAAATCTAATGACCTCTCAAAACAAAACCAATGAGCCAGGTGTAGTGACATACACCTGTAATCCCAGTAAGTAGAAGGCTGGAGCTTGGATTACCAGTTCAAGGAAGGATGGCCTGGAAGGCACAGGGAGACCCATTTCAGTGTTTCTATGCCTCCACATCCCCTATCCCCACCACTAGATGAGCATGATGGTTTACACCTATAATGCCAGGTGAGGCAGGATAAATTCAGGCCTACTTGGGCAATTTACTGACTTAATGAGGCTTTGTCTCAAAATTTTAAAGGGTTGGGGATGTAGATTAGGGTCATTTAATCAGTATTAAATTCAACCCCAGTAGGGGGAAAGGCTGCAGAAACAGCAGGGCAGGAACAGCAACAGCAACAGCAGCAGAAACAGAAGCAGCAGCAGCAGCAACAGCAGGCATTGTCTCTGCCTGAGGCAAACCCAAAAAACTTTCAATGTCCTAAAGGCACTACATGATCTGGCCCCTGCCTACTTCCCTAAACTTTTACCTCCCACCCTTTCATTCCACTCCAAACTTGTTTCACTGACTACAGTACTGTACTTACATTCTTTTGTTTCCTTTGAGTTTCCAATACCATAAATATATTTAAACATACAATTTATTCACCTTCATAAAAATCAAGCTCAGTATGGTATAAACTTCATACTAGTTGCAACATAACAGTGTATGTCTTTTTATTATTTACTATAAAAATGCATTTAAAAACCATTTGAGGCAGCACCAGTAGAGACCAACACCCACAATGAAAAATCTTCAGTCACGTGACTATCATAATTATGCGTATACAGGCCAGCATTTAATACTATGGCACCACAGATTAAAAATGAGTCACTTGAAACGGAAACATTTTTTTTTCTTGAGACAGGGGTCTCTCTTTGTGGCCTCAGCTGGGCTCAAACTTTCAGTGATCCTGACACCTAAGTGCTGGGATCACAGGCATGTGCCACCACAGCTTGAAATAGAAAAATCTGAAATAGGGATTTTACAAAATGATACTTAACAGTAAATTTTCCAAAAGAGTAAAACATATGACATTTTTTTTTTTCTTTCCGGAACCAGGGATTGAACTCAGGCCCTTGTGCTTGCCAGGGAAGCGCTTATTCCACTGAGCCATCTCCCCAGCCCAAGACATATATTCTTAACTAGTTTAAAATATAGTTAGTCATAAAAGTGGGGATGAGCTGGGTATGTTGACACACACCTGTAATCCTACCACTTGGGAAGCTGAGGCAGGAGGACTGCTGAGTTTGAGGCCAACCTGGGCTACACAGTATGTTCAAACGCAGCCTGAACTACACAGACTGACTCTGTCTGGGGGAAAGGGGAGAATATAGCTCAGTGGTAAGAGTACTTGCCCTGCATAAATACAATAGTATATTTACATGAAGGCCGATTGAACAAACACATATGGGGGTGGGCACAAAACACTAAGGGACTTTCATTTTCTGTTTTGTCTTTGGTACTACTGAGAATTGAACCCAGAGTGCTCTACATCTGAGCTATACTCTAGCCCCTTTTATTTTGCTCTACCTGTTTTAAGTTATACCTTATATGACCAGGATTAAAGGAGTTAACAGCAAACAAACGGAAACAAGCCAATGAAAAGAACAAAACCACTACCACACACATGTGCACAGGCCACTATTTACATGATCCATGCAGTTTCCCACTCCTAGGCAAGCACATTCTTCTCTCTCTCCCTACCTAAGCTGATTACAACAGGCCCACACAGCCACAGAAAGAAGCATGCATGCTGTGAAAGCTAAAGAACTAAAATTTGTTTGGTAAATAGATTTTTCACACCCTATAAACCTTTGCATGATGTGCAAAGTATAAACGGAGAAAACATTAAACGGGAATCCCGGAATTTTGGCTGACTCTAAGCCAGTTGCTTGGGACTACAAGGAAAATACTTTAGAAAACTAGACATACAATCCCGGGAAATGTAAGTCTCTGGAACTCAATTACATACTTACAAATGGGGCTGGCCTCTAAGTTCTAAGAGCCTGCTTTTACACTTTAAATTCTAGTTTTTTTTAAGAAACTGGTTGATTGCTTTGTTCGTATTTTCTTCCTTTCAGTACAGATATTTATTTGTCTAGAAACTTTAAATCTAGCGCTAGACTGACTCAAATAGAAGTTCCAGGGCTCAGTGGTAGAGATTGAGCTATAGCACGCCACAGGCCTTGGGTTCCATCTTTTGCACCATTTACCTTTCTGTCGCCAAAAGCCATCGTTACTTTACATAAGTAAACAAAATATTATAACTTATCAAAAAAGACTGAATAAATAATTATTTACAATCAAGAACTAGTCTTGGGCCAGGACTGGGGGTAGCTTTCAAGGTAGTAAGGCAGGAGGATAGTGAGCTCCAGGCAAGTTCGGGAAAACTGGCAAGATCTTGCCTGTTGTGGGGGGGGGAAGGTCTTGCATTTTCAGTTCAATTTAATATTACTTTTGTCAAGTGCTCCAAACAATACCTCCACCTCCAATCTAGCCAAGTTGAAGGTGACAATCATCTACCATGGTTCATACTGCACACTGGGGGAGTAACATTAAGAGGTTGGAAAATTCTCACCACATACGTTATGATATTCAGTGGCTTTTGTTTTTGTATTTTTCCCCTTCAGATCTGGCAGAAAACAATATAATCTGATTATACATCTGCAAAAATTGTTTATTTCAAAGGACTAAAAAGGCAACAACAAAACAAAGACCCACACAAATCAACAGTTAAAATTGTTTAAATGAAGGCTACTTTAGTGACAGGGCATGGTGGTGCACGCATGTAATCCCAGCACTAGGGAGGCTGAGGCAGGAGGATCGCTGACCAGTCAGGGCCACAAAGTGAATTCAAGGCAGTCAAGGCCAGTGAAACTGTCTCAAAAAGAGCTCCCCACCCCAAGCACAAGTGGAACCAACTCTGAGGCACAAAAGTTACCAACTTTCCGTTATAAAGTACTAAACATTTTTTAAAATTTAAATCTATTTCAGTGTAGACGGTACAATTTCATGAAGGCGACCTGTAACTTTCATGAAGACAATTAGTAATAAAAAATAGATGTTTATTTGGGTAAGGCATCGCTTAAGTCATTAAAAAAATGTTTTTCAACTGGAAAGATACCTCCACCCAATAGAGTTCTAGCCCTTAAAATTGCAACAGTCTTTTACTTACACAATCTCCAAGAATACTGCCATAAAAAAAGGAAATCTACCCAAAGCATAATTATCTCCAACCTGTACAAAACGGCAATTCACGTTCCACATGAAATGTAAAAGGCAAAATGGAGTTGTGAAGTTTCTCTCCCGTTCCTCCTCGGACAGCGCGCGCGCTCCGCAGAGGCCCCGGAGCCCCCACCTAGCCCGGCGCGGCCGAGGGAGGAAGCGGCGGGGCGGGCGACTCGAGCTCCAGCAGGCCCGGCTGGGCGGGGGAAGGGGCGCTGTAGGCGGCGGGGCGCGCTTCCGGGGACTGAGCGGGCGGGGCTGCTGCCGCCGCGGGGCGCGGGGCGCAGGGCGCAGGGCCCGGGGCCCGAGTCAGGGGCAGGGGACAGGGGAGGCAGGGCGCGAGCAGCAGGTGGGGCGCGGCCGCGCCGGGCGGGTGGCCGGAAAAGTGCCGGCCAGGCGAACCCGGGGCTCTGCGGCGTCCGGAGGGACCCCTCTTGCTCACCTCGGAGACGACCCCCGAGTCCGGCCTCTTCTCGCCAACGACGCCTGTCCGCGAGTCGCAAGCTCAGAGACTAGGGCGGATAGCTTCAGAGGCGAAGGCCGACTACCGAGAGAACCGATGGAGGGCGGCGGACTCGGGAGTGCGAGCGAGCGAGGGCGGGCGGTGGCGGGAGGGCGGGGAGCGACGTGCACGCCCCCGAGAGCCCAGCGGGCTCGAGCCGGAGCGAGTCGCGACCCGCGCACGCGCGCGCACTCTTCCGTGCAGAATTGTTCAGTTGCGATTGCTCAGGAGCGCGTCCACGCCCTAAAACTCGCGTAACCAATCGTTGAAGTCGCGTGGGGCATCACGGGAACTCCTGGGCTATAAAAGGCCGGGTTACTATTTTGTACTCCGCGAGTCATTCATCCTTTAATTAAATTGGGTGGGGCTAGGTGCGCGTGCGCGCTGCCAATACTCCGCCCTAAACTGCCAACGCTTCGCGCAAAAGAGGTAGAACCGCCCTTCTTGGTATTACGCGTGCGCATTGTCAGACCTGTCCCGGAAGACCACACGCTTGCGCCGTGGAGACTACAGTGACAGTGACTTGGATGGGGCGCGAGCCAGTTATGGCGGAACCTTGGTTTGGGCAAACCTTGCAGGCTTTGCCCGCAACGGTGGTGGGTGCATTGGGAGCCCTGGGCAGCGAGTTCTTGCGGGAATGGGAGGCGCAGGACATGCGCGTGACTCTCTTCAAGTTGCTACTGCTGTGGTTGGTGTTAAGTCTACTGGGCATCCAGCTGGCGTGGGGTTTCTACGGGAACACGGTGACCGGGTTGTATCACCGCCCAGGTGAGGCTCCCTAAGAACCTCTGTGGGCTGGCCATCCCTACCACCACCAGGCTGTACCCCAGAATACACTTAGACTACCACTACCGCCCCCCACACACCTTATCAGGACTTGTACCTTGCCATTGTAACATTTTATGCCAGAATCCTCACTAGCCCACCCATCACATTGTAACTGTTCTTCAAAATCCTCACCAGACAATACCAAGAGTATGTCAGAATCCTACCACACTCTTTTCCAAACTATACCAGTGGCCCCTGACCTAACCTGAGCTGATGCCTGCTCAGATCCTCACCCCCAGCCTGCTGCAGCTCTGGATGTGTTCCTGCCTCCAGGTCTGGGCGGCCAGAATGGATCCACACCTGATGGCTCCACGCATTTCCCTTCCTGGTGAGTAAATTCGTTCCTATCTCAACCTCATGCTTGGCAGACAGTGTACATTCCTGTGCTGATTACAGAGGGAAATTCTCAGGGTATGTAGTGGTCTTTGCAACAACTGTGTCTGCATGTACAGCTTAGGCTTCAGATTGGGATCACACCAGTGTCTGGAGAGTCTTCAGCATGCTGTTCAGCAACCTGTGGGAATGGGTAAAATATTGTCATGATTTCAGAGATGGCTGAGGCAGGTCTGTTGGGAACAAGTCCTTCAGTTGGGGAAGCAACAGCTAGCTTACTACCAAGATGAACCCCAAGACCTAAGAGCTGCTCTCCTTAGCATATTGACTGACCTTATCAGAGTTACCTCCTCATCTGTAAAACAACTCACCTGGGAGGCTGAGACAAGAAGATCAAAAGTTTGAGCACAGGGCTGGGGAGATAGCTCAGTAGAATAAGTACAAGGGCCTGAGTTCAATCCCCAGTTCCGAAAAAAAAAAAAAGTTTGAGCACAACCTGGGAAACTTAGTGATTTAACAAGATACTGTCTCCAAAAGGGGGGGAGGGGTGCAATTTGGTGCAAAGGCCCAAGTTCAATCCCCATAACAAAAAGAACAAACAAAATTTCACTAATCAAGGAATTCATTCAGCCCAAGTCTTTATTTTTTATGTGTTTAGTACAGGGTCTACAGGGTTTTATTGCACAAATTGGACTTGTAGTGATCTTCCTGTTTTTAGCCTCCCAAGTGCTGGCATTACAGGCGTGTGCCACCACCCCTGGTCTCAGTCTCCCATTCAGCGCACCCCAAGGGCAGGGCTGGCACAGCACACCGAGGGATCGAACCCCAGTCCCTGCATCTGCCTAAGCAGACACTTTAATCTGCTGAGCTATCTGGCTGGCCCTAGCCCAAGTCTTTGAACTTTTACTGCATGACATATGCTACACTAGGCCCAAAGAAAAAGGACAACCCAGGCCCTGCTTATAGTGGAAACAAGAGATTTCTAAAGAGAAGAAAGCAGTGCAAGGGTAAGGGTCATCTGGAAGGCATCTCCCATGGCACCTAAACTGAGATCAAGGTTAGAGATGGCATAGTGTCCTGGAAAGAATGGCTGAAACAGTGCCCCAGAAAAGGACAAGGGTGAGATATTGGAAGAACAGATAAGGTTTGATGGAAGAGTTTGATCATGAAAGTATGGAGGAGTCAGGGAACCACTGAGGGGCTGACTTAGCAAGGCTGTAGGTGATCTAATTTGCCTTTATAACTGCCTACTTAATGGCAGGTGGATAAAGGGGTCCACAAATAAAAGGCAAGAGGCCATTTGCGAAGGCTGCCACTACCCAGCTTTCTGTCTTTGATAACTGGAAAAGGATGGCAGGATTATAAGGTGGGAAACCAGGAACAGATATGCAGGGAGGAAGTAGTGGGCCCACAGTGGGCTGTGGGAGATCAGCAAAGAGATTTATATGCCACTTTGCTGAGCCTCATCTCGGTCCTCAACATGGGGGTTGGGGAAAGCTAGTCTGAGGAGCTATTCTGCTGCCTGTGAAATAACCTGTCTTTCTTCTCTGTCACTTTCAGGGAAATGGCAGCAAATGAACCTCTCAAAACTCACAGAGAATAAGGGAATGCAACAGCAGAAAGGTCTCCAGAGGCATCAGTGGAAGTGCTGGATCCTACAATGTGTCATTTTGTTTGTGTTTTGAGACAGGGTCTTGGTGTGTAGTTCAGGCTGACCTTGAACTATGTAGCCCAGGCTGACTTTGAACTCACAACAATCCTCCTGCCTTAGTCTCCCAAGTGGTGGGATTACAGGTGTGAGCCAGCATACCTGGGTCCTACACTGTGTTTTGCTGCTGCTTAGATGCTCAGATCCCAAGAATGACTGCAGGAGGCCCAGGATTGAGGTTAGGGAGTATCTCTCCATAGCCTTCAGTGTTGGCTCCAGTAGACCCCAGGTACTGAGCAAGTGAAGAGTTTTCCTCTACCCTAATCTAAGACTCTCAAGGAGAGAAGACATGTTTCTTCTGTCTCAGGGGTCAAAGCTCAGGAGACGCCTTGTGTTGGGAAGGCCTGCAGTCCCTTTTCTGTTTTGACTTTTTCCTATCCCCCTTTTTATCCTAAGATATGACCACAGAGATTTGTCTCTCTGAAAAGCCTGAGGTTGACCAGTTCTGGGATTGTAAGGAAAGTCTATTCTTGCCTAAACCCTGAATTTGTTTGGTTTTGCTTTGTTGGCAGGGAACCAAGTAATCTGGCCTGGGCTAGGCTTTCTACTTTATGGTTATTTAACTGGCTACTGAAGTATAAGGCAAGGTGTCCTTGCTAGCATCATCCAGATGAAGGCACCAGACACTCACCTCCCTGACCCAAACAGAGCTCTCCAGGTATGAGTCAGGTAAAGGAGATTATCATTTCCCAGCTGTCTTCTTATTTCTCTGTCCTCAGAAGAAAGCAAGGTGTCTGAAAGAGACAGAGCCTGTTAACTGAGCCCATGGGGCTTCCACCAAGGGTTTAAGTGCTCTTGGGGTCTTAGGTCTGTACCCTGCCTCCTCCAAGGGAAGTACTAAGCAGTTAGGGCAAAGTGGCTCTGTCATGCCCTGAAGTCTCATCATTTCTTATCATGTCACAGAGCAAAGTCTTTATTTTGAAACCCCACTAGCACTGGCTCAGCCCCTAGAATTCTTCAGCATGAAAGAGCCACAGGCCAGGCAGCTCTACCCCTTTGCACTGGGCAGGAGAGATTTCAGAGGAGTGGGTGACAAAAAACACTGCTTCCTGAATGCATTGTGTCCCTCGATGTACCTCCCTGAATGGCAGTCCTGCTGCCTACCTCTGCTGTGCCATCTGCTATCTCAGTCCCCCACACCTGCTTCTCCATTAGATGTCATATATCCATCTGGCACCCTCTTAGCCTTAGCAGATTCTGGCAGAGGTATACTGGACGTCCCTAGGCTTAGCCACCAACACTACTATACAGATTCAGGGGCTCACATTTTACCCAGGTTCAACTGAAAATGTGGCTTATTAAACACGGAAATGCATCCGTTGTAATTATTTTAAAGAATAAGTTGTGTGTACAAGGGCAGTTGGTGAGGTAATATCCTGAAGGCTACTGCCCTTCAGGAGAAAGAATGCAATGGTTTGCAGACGTGGAAAGAGGATGCCCATTCCCTGGAGAAGTGGTAGGGTGTGGGGTGTTCAATAGGGACAATATCTTTGTTGGCTTGGGTTTTGATACTTTATGATACTGGGGATTGAACCTAGGGCCTTGCCTATGCTACCAAGTACCCACCACTGAGCTACATCTCCAGCTCTCTTGTTGGTTCTTATCAACCTGGTACACAAAGGGAATCTACTCCAACCCTGTCTTATAGGTCAAGAGGTTGGTTGATATCTCAAGAATCCAGTAGACAAAGAATAATAAAGCTAGAGACCATGCAAAGTAAGAAGAAAGGAACCTTGTTTAATTTTTTTCAGACGACAGTAATGTCCAGTCCCCCAGGGGCAAAAGTCAGCCTGTGTGGTGAGCATGTCATGATTTGCTGCTGGGCAGCAGGCTAGGCCAGCAGGGGAAAGGAGAAGAGTGAGACTACATTTTCTCAGCCATCCCTGTTGACATACAGGAACAACTTGAGTCAATACTGTGGTGAGTCAGGAATCATTTCCCAGTCCCTGGGAAGAGGCCAAAGTTTGCATTCATGGAAAACAGAGTAGAAGAGATGACTAAGGCTACACTGCGCACCTTTGAAAGGTGAAAAACCACAATGAGGTAGGTTGGTCAGATGTTCCCCACTCACAAAGGTGAGCATTTGATCTATACCAGCACCTGGCAGAGAATGGTCAGGGAAATTGGACAAAAATGGGGCAGTGAGTGAGTGACCTAGTCTGTAAATCAGAAACATGGTCCTAAAGTTAGAGGGACCTCTGTTGGGGGAAGGCCAAGCTATCCTGGGCTGCTTGCCCCTCAGATAATTCTGCATTGTATTGACTAAGCTCTATAGAATATGCCGGAAGGCAAGACTCCTTGGAGAGGCAGGGGGAACTCTGCTCTGTCCGTCTTCATTTGAGAGTGTAGTAGTTGGTGGGCACAAAGGGCATTTTGCTGACGACAGCCATCTGCTGCTTCCGCCGCACCTCCACCAGCAGCTGTGTCCCTGGTCGACTGTACTTGGAGGGTACATAACCCATCGCCACATTCTTTTTCAGGGAGGGTGATGGACAGCCGCTGGTCACAGCACCTGTCCAAGCACAAGCCATAGATCACCATTTTGCCAGCCCAATGCCCCCACCCTTCTAGGGAACAGACAAGGGTTCCCAGCATCTTTGGACTACCTACCAATCACAGTGCCTTCTGTGCATAGGATGGGACTGTGAGCCCGCATTGGGGCCCCCTCACATATCAACCCCACACGCTTCCGTTCCACCTTGCCCTTCAGCTGAGGAACAATGACTGTGGCTCCTGGGAAGTCCATAGTAGCTCGGCGGCGCTTCCCTAGGGCACAATACAGCAGACTTGAGTCCCAGCCCAAGAAGCCCTGGCCACAGGATTTTACCTTTCAGGGACCCCACGTGACATCCATCAAGCATCAAGTCTTCCTCATTTGGGCTCCTGGAACTCTAGTCCCTCCATGCACTGAAGTTCAGTCATACCTCCTACCCCCTTAGCCATGCTTTTTTTTTTTTTTTTTTGGTGGAACCAGGGATTGAACTCAGGCCCTTGCACTTGCCAGGCAACCCTTAGCCATGCTGAGGGTCCTTAATTTTTTTTTTGGGGGGGGGCAGGGTCCTCAATTTATAATGTCAAAAACACAGTGGCTGGCACCTTCAGGGAATGAAGGCTCAGGAAAGCTAACTTTTTCTAACCTACACAAACTTAAGAGGTTCACAGGTTGGCTGTCTGAATTAAAGTTCACACCAACCTTCAACTCACCCAATGTCCAACTGAGGCTGCCCTCCACAGGTGTGGTATGTTCATCAATGTCGTTTCCATATAAACAGAGGCCGGCTTCTAGACGGAGACTGTCCCGGGCTGCCAGCCCTGCCAGTTTCACTTCTGGGTTTTGCAGCAGAGCCATTGCTACATGGACTGCCCCAGCTACCGGCACTGAAATCTGCAAAGAACACCAGAGAGCAGTGGGCAGTTCCTCCCAGAGTCTTAGACTACGCTCTGCTCTATACCCACTTGACATACCTCCATACCATCCTCTCCTGTATAGCCACAGCGGGTTACTCGACAGCCAGATACGCCAAACACTTCCATCACAGCACTGGTCATGAAGGGTAGTTTCCTCAGGTCCTCTACCACACCAGTCTGTAGCACCTGGGCTGCAGTGGGGCCTGGGCCCAGGAAGCCAATGACTAAGCATCCTGGTCCCAGCACCATCTCAAAACTGGACCATAGCTCTTTCACAGGGACCAGAACAGGTCCTGAGCAAGTCCCACCCTGCAAATGGAAGAAGGTGCCCTTACCCCCTACCTCACAGAATCATGAAACATGGGGAGAAAGAGGCATAGGATACCTAACTTATAGCATATAAATATCACACCATCCATGCCTTTCTCTTGAAATAGCCTCTGTGCTAAGCAGTAGATAAAGCCAGGAAGCCAAAAGTTGCCTCCTACTCCTGCCTAGCCATCTTACCTTGCAGGGCTAGCAAAGCATTATTCACCACCTCTAGGCCCACATCACTCCCCTTGTTCTGAAGCTCCCTGACCTTGTCCTGAAAGAAAAGAAGAAACATCACATCAGTGTCTGATACAGAGCTGGGGATATAGCTCAGTGGCACAGTGTTCTCTAGCATCAAAGTGTAGCATCTCTGTCTCCAGACTTAGGAGGGCAAAACCAAGCGTGAGCTAGACATATCCCTGGGCCCGCTTAGCCACCAGCTCACAGACCCCCTCACCTCATGCACAGGTCTCAGGCTGTGCAAATTGCAAGAATGGGCTCAAATCCAGGGTCTTTAATTCTTGGGCACCAAGTAAAGTTTTACCATTCTCCCACACAGGGAGAACTCCCCAGTCTGGTAACAACCTTGTGCCCCTCTTTACTTAGCAGTGACAGTCCCATTTGCACACCTAAGACCTGCTGTTTTATCCCTCCCACAGAACTCTGCCAGTGTTCTAACCCCCCAGAATAAAAGCTTCAAAGTACGTGTTTGGAAGTGGTACTGACCATCTGTCATGGGGTGAATATTGCAGGGCTGGGCAATAAGACAGTGGACCAGTTCCCATCTTACAAGATCACATAGCTGCTGAGTGAGTGGCAAGAATAACCTAAGCCCAAGTTTCATACCTCTCATACTGTTGTCAAAGGATGCTCACCTAGATAGAGTCCAGGATCAGCTTTACCTCCCTATCACCAAAAGCTGGCATGTTCTAGGGAAGGCCTGTTCTTAAGTGTCATAGCTGTTCAGTCAAGAGTCACCTGCTGAGTTCATCATCTGTGCCAAGTCTTTACTAGACAACCTGCTGCTTTATGAATGCAAAGACAAGGTGCCTAAGACATGAATAGGTTGTACCTGCATGAGGGCCAAGTCCTTGTCCCAGCAGCCAGCATTGGACACCACATACAGGTATCCCTCAGAAGTATTGGTCACAATCAAGTCATCCAAGATGCCTCCAGCTTCATTGGTAAACAGCGACAGTGTTCCCTAGCATCAAAATGTAGCATTACTGTCTCCAGGCTCAGGAAGGTAAGACCAAGGGTGAACTAGACATATCTCTGGGCCCACTCAACCCCAGTTCACCAACCCTCTCACCCCTGGCACAAGTGTCAGGCTATGCAAGTTGCAAGAATGGGCTAAAATCCAAGGTGTTTGATTTGAAGCACCAAATAAGTTTTCACGCACCAGGAAAATGGCTCAGTAGAATAAGTGCTTGCCTGGCAAGCGCAAGGGCCTGAGTTCAAACCCCGGTTCTGCCAAAAAAAGTTTTCACCATCCTCTCACACAGGGAGAACTCTGTGCCCTTCCTTACTTAGTAGTGGCAGTCCCATTTGTATACCTAAGACCTGCTGTTTTATCACTTTCATACAACTCTGCCAGTGTTCCAACCCCCTACAATAAAAGCTTCAAAGTACATCTTTGGGATCCCAGATACTCCTACAACAGTCTACAACACTGCCCCAAACTATTGTAAGGCTGGCCTTGCCTCCCCACTAGATGGAGGAAGAGCCTGAACTTGAGCAGTCACCCACGTTTATTTATTTATTTTTTTGTATTTAGTATAGGGTCTACAGGATGTCACTACACAGATCAGACTCTTAGTGATCCTCCTGTTTTCAGCCTCCCAAGTGCTGGACTACAGGCTTGTGCTACCACACCCAGTCTCACTTGCTGTCTCCGTGTGTCTCGGGATGGTGCCAGCATGGCACACCAGGGATCAAACCTAAGCAGGGGCTTTAATCCCCTGAGCTATCTGGCCGGCCCCACCCAGGTTTATTCTGCAAATCTAAAGCAGTACCTGGGAGTCTGTTCCTAATAAGCACCTGGGAGGCAGTGAGACTGCTGGCTTAGGGGTTACACTTTAAAAAACCAGGACATAAGCAGCATGAAAGATCGATGGACTACTCATAAACCTTGCTTTCTGGCCTCCCAGTCTGATGTGGTGAGGCTGGAATAGCCCCCATCCCCAGCTGTCTAGGTGTCCAGAAATGACCCAAGGACTCTTGTCTCCCAATACAGCAAGCCCTGAAAAGCTGACCCATCCATGTCCCCTCAAGTTTGTGGCAGTGACTTGTCCCCCTTCCCGGCTCATGACTGGTATCACCCATTGAGCAGAAACAAAAGGGCCCACCTGGTTTGGCCTTAGCTCTGCGATGTCTCCAACCACTAGACTCTCCATCAGCTTCACTCGGTCACAGCCAAGTATCTTGGTCTAAGGAACAGATGGAAAGCCTCAGGCTTCTGCATCCACCACTGAACAAGCAGTCACCCTTCCTGCCATTCACAGTCCAGCCCAGCCAGGAAGTGACTGACAAATATTGGTTCTACAGGTACCAGAGTCCCCACTTTTGGATTCCCCCACATCTCCCAGCCCAGGCTGTGACTGACTGCAATTTAAGAGAATCTAGCAGTTTACTGAAATACCGCTTTTCAATCCATACCCAAAAGGATAAGTATCAGCTCTGGAAGACATAAGGCATTAAGGTATGTGTTTAGTAGGAGGCAGGAGAGACTGGGGAGAAGATGGTGCAGAAGACCCCCTGAGTTTTCATCTGATTTCTTTGGTGCTGTAATATGTTCATGATAGCCTGGAGACCTCCAGTCCTCAAGAGAAGGCTGTCTTTGGAATTCAGCTCTCAGCAAGCACAGCCCAAATATGACAGGAAGGCAGGCCTGACCAGCAGCCGGCACTTCCTGGCTCACCTGCAGCATGTGGGACACATCAAAGAGCGAGCAGTGCCGGCGTGTGTGCAGGTGCGAATCCACGTGGCTGTCCTTGTACTGCACAGGGAGACTCCAGCCTGCAAATGCCACCATTCTCCCACCATGGGATAGATGGAAGTCATAGAGAGGAGTCCTGCGGAGCACGTCCTGCAGGCAGCTGTGTTTAGTACTACATACCAGGGCCCTACTACCCAGCCGCCTCCCTCCACCCTTTCAAGATCAGCATCAAATCCTTTCCCACCCTTTATCCCACCTGTGCACAACTGTGTGAGCGACTCGGGGCTGCAGGGAATGCAGGCCGGCGAAAGCCCAGGGGGAAAACCAGGCTCACAGCTCTCTTCATCATCTCCCGAAACAACTGCAGACGGCACACACAGGCCACCACTCTGCCAGGCACGCTGGGAGATGTAGTCCGAGCTCCTGCTTGGACAGGTCTTTCTAGTGCAAAGAAGTTTGGGGTGGGGGTTGGGAAGACCGGAGGGCAGCTTGGGATCTAGAGCAGAAAGTGCTGGATTCCCTACTGTTTCTTCCCTCTAGGCAATCAGGCGACTCAGGCAGTCCAGAGAAGATTGTGCAGAACTGGAGCTGAAAAGCTAGGTGTCAGACCTCCCCCTAATGAATTCCCCTCCAAAGGGCCAAATTTCCACAAAAGACCGAAAGGGCTGAATCACACATTCAGGACCTCTGACGGGTAAGAGGAAGAATGTGAAGGGGGTGGGGAGGTCATGGGAGGGTGGAGCCAGCTGGACAGGCCCAAAGCCACTGTTGCCCGGCCTCCTCTAGGGGGCTCCAGCTCTTCCCACTGGGCAGACACAGGCAGCCAGCAAATCACACATTCCACAAGTATTATTTATTTTTTGAGACAGGGTCACTATGTAGCCCAGGGCGGCCTCCAACTCAAGGTGATCCTCCTGCTTCAGCTGCATCACTATGCCCAACTTCTATTAATATTTATTAATCTTGCTGGACATCAGGCTCTATGTTGGCTGTTGGGGATGGAATAATATATGGTCTCTGCCACCCCAGGGTCCTCTTCACTCATACACATAACACACACGCTGTCTGTCTGTCTGTCTGTCTGTCTGTCTCTCTCTCTCTCTCTCTCTCTCTCTCTCTCTCTCTCTCTGTCTCTCTCACACACACACTGAGGAACACTGCTTTCTGAACACAGGACTTATAGTCATCATCCTTTCAGCTGAAGCACAGTAGGACTAAATAAATAGCTGTACAGGTGAAGCTACCAGCTTGCAAGGCTGATGGGTGAGAATAGGGTGGACACCTATTGAGTGTGACTGTTGAGTCACACATATGTCTAGTTTTCCAGGTCCAAGACACCTTGTGGTACTGCTCCATAATTTCCCAGGGGCACAGGCAGGAAGAACCAGAGGAAAGATTTTCTCTTTTGAAGCAGCAGCAACCTGGATCACTCAGCAGTTGGCCTGGAGTACTGCTGGGGCTCAGCCTCTCAAAAGGCACTACTAAAAACCCCCTCTGGATCTACCTCTGCCAATATTGATTTCTTATCACCACGTGTTAGGGAGCTGGGAAAAGGACATGGATGTGCTTCGGGCCGTGTCAGATGGCAGACAGGTTGCTGGTCTCATCCTCAAGCCCTTGACTTGCAGATGTGGAACACACGGCCCTGGGCCAGCTCAGTGACCTAGGACCTCAGCTACGGAAATCCCCAGCTTTGCCTGGAGGTAGCAGAAAAATCTAGAAAAGGAATTTCTTTTTGTGAAAAGAATAATTGAGATGTGTTATGTACAGGTACAACTTCGCTATGATGAATGTGATCAATATATACGACAAATACGTACTAATAATAAAGTTTTTAAAAAGAAATTTTTTGTAGACATAGTTCAAAGAGAAAGAAGGCCACTATGCGACACAGAGGGAAGATAGGGGTATGTCTTTCTGCCTCAAGTTTTCCAATCTCAATGCCAAGGTAGCAGTGGCCTTCCAGGGTTAGAGGGAACTGGTTCAGTCCAGTTTACTGCACTTTAGGATGAGGAGCTACAGAAGACAGGGGTGTGCGTGTGGGCAGGATGGACAGAGGGCATTCAGGGATTCTCAGTAAAAACAACTGAAGTATTGTCAGGGTAGAAGGAATTGTGTTGCAGCCAGGTGAAAAAAGAATGCACCCTTGCCAGGAACTCATCCTGAAGCAACATAATAAGTCCCAAGAATCTTGAATCTGTGGACATGGCCCAGACAGGATAAGCATGCAGACAACACTCAGAATGCACCGGGAACACACTTCTGTCACTGGTGGGCATGGAAAGGCCAAAATCTCGCTAGAAGCCACTGCTCAAGTGTAGGAGAGCAAGTTCAGGTCATAACAGCCATCAACCTGTAACACAAAGGACTATGAGGTCCGATCTGCTCAGGGCATTGCAAGCCAAGCAGAGGGAAGAGATCACTTACATCAAAGCGGCCGATCCTTGTGGAGGTGTGACTGGCCCGGATCATCTCTGTCAGCGCCCACATCTGCTGCACTTCGGAGGATACCCTGCTGGGGTCTGGGAGACCCTGATCCAGAGGGAGGGGTCAATGGCCATGGGTCTCTCCCCAGTACTGCCCTTAGAACTCTAGAGAGACCAAGCTAGGCTTTGGGTCTCTCTAGCTGAGACCACTAATATTCCCAGATGATTTTGAATGTTCTGGAGGCAACCCAGCCCCACTCCAGATTCCTCAGATCAGAACACCCAACATGGCACAGATTGTACCAAGGCACCAGAGTCCACCCCCAGAATTTTATGGAAAGGGGAACCTTCTGGGCCAGTGCTATAAACAACAGCCATTCACACAGGGGTTTTATACAAGGTGGGAACTTACCTCCAGGAGAAGGGCAGGCTGCTCACAAGGCCCTGGGTGGGAAAGCCACTTGGGAAAAGTCATGGAGGGGCTCTGCAAAGCAAAGGCATACTGCTCTAAGTGACATAGAGTAGGAGAAGGAAAAAGATCCCTGGCCTCAGACATTGGGAAAATCCTGTTTTGAAGGCCAAGGGAAGAAGCCCAAGATAATAGTCATGCCACTGAATTGTGAAGCTGTGTAGAAGAAACCCCTAGGAACATAAGCTGTAAAAGTATCTCCTGAAGGTTCCAATTCTGAAAGTTGGGAACGAGATCCAAAGGTCAGGCAGTAAGAGAACAGAGCCTCATCATGAGCTTCTAGTATTCACACTTGGCTAACTTCCTGAGAGCTCACTACTCTCCTCTAATACCGCCCCACTAGTTCAGCTCTCCCAGCCATATCTCTTAAGGAAAGGGCCAACAGCTTACTCACCTTTGGTCCCTGCTGGTAGATTTGCAGCTCCTCCACTGTGAAAGATAGCCACAGTGGTGATGGCTGCCGCAGAATGAGACGCAGCTCCAATACTCTGGCCATGTCACACAGCATCTGACACACATACACAAGGTCCCACCAAAGTCTCAGATAACTGCCCACGAACCTCCCAACCAGCAGTAATCCAAGTTACTGCCTCTTCAGGTCTTTAGGAAGGAAATAACAGTATTCTGTCCAAGGCATTTGCCTGGGAGCAACAGCCCAAGCCAGTCTTGACCCTGCTCCTTCCTGGCATGACCCAATCCCCAGGCCTCAGAGGTCCTTATCTGGGCTGCCCTTGCCAGACTGAGGCTCAGCTGACCTGGTGCTTGAATAGTGATACATATTCCTGGGCTCCATCCTCACTGTGTGGGTCAGACATCAGACAGTAGTCCCGCAGGCAGGTCACCCACTTAGCTGGTGTGTGTGCTGAGGTATGCTGACGGACACGGATGGTCAAAAAGGCTGTGTAGTAATTCTTAAATGTGATCTCCTGCAACTAGAGCATATACAACCCACCGTAACAAACCAGGCACAGGGCCTCTTCTTTTACTGCCTTACAGATAATCAAAACCAGAGATACTCTTATTACTGAGCTACATTCTCAACCTTTCCCCTTTAAAAAAAAATACTAGAGATTAAATCCAATGGTTTTATTCTGAGCTACACTCCTAGCTCTTTTTTTTGTGTTTGGTTTTTTGAGACAAGAGTTTTCTTTGTAGTGCAGGCTGGCCTCAGACTTACTATGATCCTCCCATCTCAAACTCCTGAGTCCTGGGATCACAGGATGTGCCACCACCCCCAGACTTCCCAGCACGTTTTGTTTTTTGTTTGTTTTTGGTTTTGTTTTTTTGAAACTGGGTCGTTGCCTGGCAAGCACAAGGTCCTCAGTTCAACCCCCGATACCGGAAAAAAAAAAAGAAAAAGAAAAAAAAAAGAAACAGGATCCTATTGAGTTGCTGAATTGCGCAGCCAAGGTTTGTTGTGGGTTTTGGGGGTTTTTTCCCCCCATTTTTATTAGGGAAGGGTCTACGGAATGTCCAGGGTCTCACTACTAGATTGGACTCCTGTTTATAGCCTCGGAAGAGCTGGGATTACAGGTGCTCGCCACCACGCCCAGTCTCATTCGCAGTCTCAGCACGCCGCGGGGGTGGGGCTGGCACGGCAGTTTTTTTGTTTTTTTTTGTACCGGGTATTGAACTCAGGACCTTGCACCTGCCAGGCAGGTCCTGTGCTACTGAGCTGTATCCCTGGTTCCCCAGCCTGGGTTTGAACTCATGATCCTCCTACCTCGGCATCCCAAGTAGCTAGGACTACAGGCATGTGCCATGTTCAGCTTCCTCTTCCCTTTTAGAATGTACTCTTCTGCTAAACAATAAACATTTTCACTTTCCCAGAGGTTCTCACAGTTTAAAAGACTAGGCCATGCAAATAACCCATCACTGTGGATCTTGCAACATGTCCAAATGCTGTCAGAAGTCACAACCCATAGGGCTGGCCAAATACCTCAGCAGATTAAAGCACCTGCAAGCAGGTGCAGGGGCCAGGGATTCGATCCCCAGGCCTGCCAGGCCAGCCCCCCCACCCCCCCACCCCCAAGAGACACACACACACACACACACACACGCACACCTGCCAGGACTGAGATGGCAATTGAGACTGGGTGTGGAGATGCACACCCATAATCCCAGCTCTTGGGAGGCTGTAAATAGGCGGATCACTATTTCAATCTAGTAGTGAGACCCTGAACACCCTGTAGACCCTCCCCTAAAATACAGAAAAAAAATAATAAATAAATAAAAAGAAGTTACAGCCCTGCCAGGGGTAGTGGTGCACACCTGTAATCTCAGCACTTGGGAGGCTGAAGCAGGAGGATTACTGTGAGTATGGGGCAAGCTTGGGCTACATAGTGAGTTCAAGACCAGCCTGAACTGCACAGTAAGACCCTGTCTCAAAACAAGAAAAAAAGAAAGGGTTACAGCCCTAACCCTGGTGGAGGCAGAAAATGTACACATGGGGCCTAAGAAGGAAATTTGCCTGATGGGCCAAGAAAAGTGGGAGATATAAAAATAGCATATATAGATGAGTTTACAGTGAGAACCTGGCACAGAACAGGAAGCAATTCAACCTAATTATAGCAATGGTTCTCAATGGAGACACATCAGAGTTACCCCAGGAAATTTTTTTAAATTCAGATGTCCAAATTGTTCCTCAACCCTACTGACTCATGATTTCCTGGGTTAGTTCCTCCTTTTTGTTATTGTTGTTTTCTTTCTTTCCTTTTTTTTTTTTTTTTTTTTTTTTTTTTTTTTTTTTTTTTTTTTTTTTTTTGCAGAACTGGGGATTGAACTCAGGCCTTTGCACTTGCCAGGGAAGCACTTATTCCACAGAGCCATCTCCCCAGTCCCCCTTGTTGTTGATTTTTTTCTTTTTCTTTTCTTTTCTTTTTTTTTTTGAGGTAGGTTCATCACTTTGTAGTTCACTGGGCTTTAACTCATTATGTAGTTAGGCTGGCCTTGAACTTGCTGTGATCCACCTCCCTCAGCCTCCAAAGTGCTGTGATTTTAGGTGTGCACCACAATGCCTGGCATCAGTCAGTTCATTTAATTAAGTTTCCCAATTGACTATCAGGAACATCTTGGAAGGTAACTACATACTGTAATGAATGTGCATGGGTCTAAGAGGACAGTTAGGGTGAAGACATAGAGCAGCTTTTTATTTTTTATGTATTTGGTACAGGGTCTCGCTACACAGCTTGGACTCTAGTCATCTTTGTTTTCAGCCTCCTCAGCGCTATTACAGGCATATGCCACCATGCTTGGTCTCAGTGGCTGGCTCAGTGCAGCTAGGGGTGAGGCTGGTGCAGCATGTGGTGCTGGGGATTGAATCTGAGTTCCTGTGCTTGCCAAGCAGGCGCTTAGTCTGCTAAGCTATCTTGCCGGCCCCCCCTCCTTTTTTTTTTTTTTTTTTTTTTTTTTTTTAATACCTGGCATCAAGCTCAAGACCTTGCTGTCACTTGTGCTGCTGAGCTATATCCCTGGCCCCACAGAGTGGCTGTGAAGGCCAGGCCATTAGAAGTCGGCTTTGTCCTTTGTGTTGAGGTCATGTAGTGTTCAGTCTGTCACCTGGTGTAAAGGTGCAATTGGATATTAAAAACTCCAGTTTCACTAGGAGGTTTTTAGATGACCTTGAACTTGCAGCGATCTACCTGTGCCTCTGCCTCTTGAGAGATTACAGGCATGAACCACCATGCCAGGCTTGGGTAGTTCTACTTTGACCTCTGGCAGGCACTACAGGAATGAGGAGGAGACTGGTTTAAGGAAAATAATTGTTTAATGATCTCCAGCTGGGGCCAAGTACAAGCTTAGTTTTCAAACTCTTCAATTCACAGTTGTATTTCCAGCCCCAACTAGCCTAATTCCTAGCACTTTCATGCCAGCGCTGTCCAGGAAGGTGGGGACGTGAAAGTGAAGAGAACGGAACACGTTCCGGTAAATACTGAAGGTACTACTTTAGAAATAAACTGTAAAGTTACCTAGTTCTCCAGGGACGCTGCAAAGGCTGGGGTAAAAGATTAAACGCCTGGGCAACGCCCAAATTCCCCATTGCCCCGCCCAGGAGCTCCATCCCGCCTACCGGGCTTGCTCACCTCGAAAGGCTCCGCGCTAGGGAAGGTGACATCGATGACCAGCACGCCAGGCCGGCCTTGGAAAGTCCGCACGTCACCCACCTGCAGGGCTACGGCGCCTTTTACATGACAGGGCACCAAGAGACGGGACATGGTGCCAGCTGCTGCGAACGAGCGCAATTATCTCTTAGAGTCTCCAACCACAATAACCCTTCCTGGCAGAAGAGCCACAAAAACTA